CCACTTACGCTTTGATAAAATATTACGATTTACGATTAGGTTCTTACATGTGTTAGGAATTAAATTTATTATTTTTTATGACAAAATTAAATTAAAACGATATTAGACATTACTTATAAATAGTTAAATCAATTATGTAACACGTTATGTCAATAGTTAAGCAACCGATTCAAATATTTGAATAATGTTTACTAATTGAAAGGATTTGAACTTAATCGATTCATATCTTACTATTTGATTAAATTAAATATTAAAAGAAAATTCACAATATAGTATTTGTAGTATATAATTTTATTTTAAAGTGAGAAAACTACTAATTGGATTGAGTTATAAATTTTTATTCTTCTAAATAAATATATTATTTTATTTTTTATTTGGATTTGTCACACTATCGATTTAATAACATAAGTGAGTTTGAATTAAGTTATGCATATCTTTTATATTTAATTGAGCATTCTTTACATTTTTAAATGGTGGAGTTTATTAATAATTCTAATATTATATAATTAATGATAGATGCTTGGCGTATTGAACTGCAATTCTTTATATTTTTCAAATTTTATTATATTAAATTTGTTAATAATTTATTTAATATCATTTAATAATAATGAATGTTGCAATTAATATTTTAATTAACATATTTATACAATTGTGGTTAAATATATAATAATAAGTTAATGTGTTTGGATGGTTAAGAGTGATGAATGTATTTAAATGTCCCAAGTTCTATCTCTAATAAATGCATTTTTTCGATTATTTATCAAATAAAACTCGGTCACAATGAATTTAAATTAATTAGTTAATTAAAATATAATAGGGGGTAAATTAGACAATTCAATGTTAATCAATTTTATATTAAAAAAATAATCGAAGGATAATTTGGTAAAGTACTTCATTTTTTAGAACACAGACCATGTTATTTTCCTAGGGTCCAGATTTAATCTTAGAAAATTAATGGTGATTAATACATATCTCATATAAGTTTAGAACACAGGTAGTCTCACCCTAGAAAGACCCTAATTAATTAATTACAGGTATATTATGAAGTTTAGACATTTATATTTCACGAAAGTGGCGCTACTCGGTACAACTGAATATATATTAAATACACTATTGAGGTATGGTCAAATTACGAAAAAAATCTCATGTTTGGGTAATTACAATTACCCCTCAACTATAAATGTTCTTACACGTCCACCCTTGCGGTTTCAAATGTAGTGGAATCTTCTAGATTATATGAAATATTCTCAATTTGTACCCATTTTGTCATATTCGAGCTCCACATTTTGAAATAAGATGATCATAAGATGTGTTTTTTGGCTTTCAGATATAATATTGTGATGCATTAGAAACTGCAGTTTTCAACAAAACAAGTACAAATTATGTTGAATTTGACACCATAAGGATGGAGATGCAAGAAGATTAATAATTGAAATGGGTAGAGATAATTATCCAAACAGAAGGGGTTTTTTTATAATTTGATGATATCTCAGGAATGGTTGTAATTTTACCCTAAATAATAATACAAGCCAAAAAACAAAAGAGGGACAAATTTTAACCTTAAATTGTACTTAATTATATCGTAAACAATAAATTGATTTTCCCCTCGTAATAAGATTTTTTATAGGGAAATTACAGTTTTCATCTCTCAAGTTTGCACCAATTTCATATTTTAGTCCTCCATGTTTTAAAAAAAAAAAACACACTTCGTCCCTCATGTTTCAATAATTTAACACTTTTGGTCATTTCCATCAATTTACCGTTATTCTGTTAGTTAAGCCAGTGATGGGCACACGCTTTATTCCGTTAGTTTTAACGGGAAATTGACGAAAACGACTAAAAGTGTAGAATTTTTGAAACACGATGGACTAAATGTGCTATTTGTGAATATGGGGGAACAAAAGTGAAATTGGTGCAAACTTGAGGGATAAAAACCGTATTTTTCCTGATTTTTTTTTTAATTTGACAGTTGCTTAGATATTTCTTTCACACTTGTGGGTTTGCGCGCAAAAATCAGACGTTATATTACAACGAGAAATAGATACAAAGATTGTTTCTATAATAAAAAAAGAAAAAGAAAAATGGAGATGGGTGAAATCAAAATCTCTAACCAAAGCATTGTTCACTTGGAAGCGGGCCGGGTATGGATCCCTGCACAAAAAACTGCAGCCCGAACACGACGATAATCGCGAGCAACGATAGGTACGACAGCCCCTCAACGGCTCCTAATAAACCGAACGGCCCGTTTGGCAGGCCCGAACCCGTTTTGGTCTTGGTGTATAGCGACCAACCCACAATGCCCGCCACGGCGAGATAGCTCACTCCTTCGAGTGCGCCGATGGATCCACCCGGGCCCGGCGGGAGCCCGCAGCCCGTTGTCTTGAGAGTGTAAAGGGACCACCCGATCACCGGGTTGGATACTAATCCCCCGACGACGGCAGCCGTCTCGGCGGTGGTGCCGCCTCCTTCGCTGCTTTCGGCGCGTACTTTGAGCAACGGCTGCCGCCGGAATTTGGTTCTGGTGGCGGTGGCATTGTGGGTGTTTATGGGTGGCAGCAGCGATGTGGGAGATGGGGATAAGAGTATTAACATTTTTGAGTTTTTTTCTTTTTTTTTTTAAATGTGGAGTGATTTAAGGATTCAACTTAGATCTAATCTTATCTACTGGTTTTTGTAAGGAGTGAGAATTTGAGCCACATGAGTTCAGGGGCCTTTTCGTCATTTTAAAATTCAATTTGAGGATTATTATATAGTTTCCAACAATTTTGATTGCAAAATTCCCATGTATTTTGTTTTTTTTGGGTCAAGATGTACTTTTATTAGTGGTCAAAGCTAAATTATTGATATTAGTTATTCTAAACTATTCATATTTGTTGATGATGATATATGTGTATAAATTCAATTCAGATATATTAATTTCATTTATCATAAGACTGCAGCTGCTCGAAATATTTGTTCAATTAAGTCAAAGACCAATTAAAAGGGATATCATAAAAAACGCCAATTAATTATATTTATATTGTGTTGTTGTTGCAAGACTAAAAAGATAAGTTATTTTTGCGAAATCAAAAAAATTGTACAAAACTAGACACAGTAAAACTCAACATCAATGTAGCGAAACCTGCCGTCAAAGACTCAAAGTGCCGCCGCCACCGAAACCGAGCAATGAGCAATCCTTCATAGTCACAAGAGCAAACCGACCAACACCGACGCCCAAACAAAACCTTCAACAATTATGATTTTTTAAATCTTAAAACATTGTGATCAATTGAATGATTTTTTTTTAACAATCGAATTTTTTTCCAATTTTTTTTGTCATAATGTCATTAAAAAGTCTCTATGATCACATAGTCGCGTCATTATGTTGAAGAAATGATGATTTAAGGTTACAATAGTATTTTTTTTTTAAATTATCGAACCCAAAAAATTGACCCGCAAATGTCAATTTTTTGTATGGTTGGTCGACATTTGCACTTTGATTTTATGGTAAATTTTCGACATGTCGATTTTTTTTTACGGAAAAATCGACATCTTGGTGTCGAATTTTCGATATTTTTCTCGACATTAAGACACGTCGGTATTCGACTATGATCCTTTTTCTTTTCTTCTGGCAACATAATCAACACGTCCGCAAACGCCAATTTGGTATGTGCGGAATTGCTTTTCGAAACCGAACAAAAATGGTTACCTAACTAAAAAAACGCACATTAATACATATTCTCATGGATTATTCTACCGTAAAATCTTTCATTTAGATATATGTTAACTCCTTATTTGTCCTCTTTGTAAGATTTGAGGGTTTTGAATGTTGAATTTTTGTGGGTGTGAAGAAAAGAGTCTTTGGGTTTTTTAAAGATAAAGAAGATGAATTTGTGGTCTTTGTGTTATTTCCCAAACTAATAATAACACAACTACGTGTTCATAGAGACAAGTTAGTTGTGGATTTTGATTTTATGGTCTTGTATTCCAAACTAATAAAAAGCGTTATTCAAATGAAATAAAAAATCGGAGAAAGTTATAATGACGACTTTGTCCCAAAGTTGCAATTGTCTGTCGTCCAAGAAGCAAATAAAAATCATTTATTATTTATATATACACTCCAAAATATTCACCACTTTCCAAATCAAGATTCCCAATGTTTGTTCGGCGCAACTGACAAATCTTGCGGGTCGAACCAAGCCCGCCCGCCCGCCCAACAAACCCGGATCGGATTCGGATCACAATAGCCCAAAACCCATTCCACCAGGGCCATGCTTAGGCAATACCAGCCACCTGCAAAAAAAACCCAGATTATTATTTTTAGTAATAAAAAGTTGGCTGATAGATAATACAACACCACACCACACCACATCATGCATGCACGCACGTGTAAGCAAATACACACAACTCTTAACCCAAAAACGACGCCGGGTTTCCATTTCTTCTGATTCCAACAGAAAACACACACACACACACACAATTTGTACAACCCCCACACACTCTTTTTTTCCCTCCAAAAAAAAGAACAAACATAACAATTTAAATTAAATTAAAAAAGAAAAAAAGGTTCCTCCAATTCAACTGAGTTCCATAAGCGAGTTGAACCAGTTCGTTCATAAGTAGAGAGAACTAAAACTAACCAATCCACAACTATCAAGAAGCGGGAAATAACATAACCACTTTTTAAACATTCTTTTTTCCTTTTTTTTAATCTCCTCCACCATTAACTTCATTTTCCCTCCAAACTATTTCGAATCATTGCTTAGGGGATTTTCTATACCGCTCAACGTTGTCGTCGTCTTCGTCTTCATCGCCGTCGTCGTCGTCGCTGCCATCATCGCTGCCGTCGTCGTCATCGATGATGTCATCACCATTGGCGCTGTCATCACCAACATCTCTCTTCCTCTTGTTGGAAGTGGAGGAAGAAGGGGGCAACTCCTGGACTCACCATCTTGGTCATCTTCTTCTTCTTCGTCTTCGACATCTTCGTCCATTTCCGGATCTTCATCTTCACCTGCATCACTTGCTCCAGCATCTATTTCGACCCGCCCGACTGGTTGAACCAGGTATCCTGACCCGTAATCATCTTCTTCCTGAAATTAAACATCCACAATTGGTTACATTTAAAAGAGGAATCCAAGGACACTCAATCATCAAAGAACATAAAACCGAGAAACTCTGACAAGTATACAGTTCATTTCATGGTACTTAACAGCAAAAAGATCAAATACACAACTTCGACACAATATAAAATAACGAAAAAATCCCTCAACCTAAATTCAGAGTATGAACATACATAACTTAATCAAAAAAAGAAACCCTCAATTCAGAGTTGCATACACTTTTCAAGGTTTCAGTGCTGTATTGTCCATCGACAAGGATGAAAAGAACATGTTCGACTGTATACAGGGAGAGAAACAGCAGATGCAGATTTTTACAGGACCTTGGAATTGAAATAATTTAAAAACTTTCTAAAAAATCGAACTTTTGGTAATAAAACTGTCGGCGATGTTTATCTTGCTTAAAAACTTGCAAATTCAAAAGATGCTTATCAAGGGATCTCGAAGATTTGAAGCTAGCATACAGAGAACATCGAAAATCTAAAAGTTTTAGACCCTATGAAATTGAAGCTTTGAATCCCACAATTGTATGCACAAACTAACACATAGATCAACAGAAAAATGACAAGAAATGCATCTTCACGTCATGAAAATCAAACTTTATAACAGATTTGTCCCAACGACGTGTCATCTTTCGAAAAAACAAAGTTAAATTTGACGTCCACATTACAGCTAGTTCCAAAAGCCATATTAACCATCAAAATCAAGATTGAGCACAAATATGTTTAATAAACCATAACCAACCAAATCAAGCAGAAAAAGCTCGATTTTTTATCCTTAGCACCTAGACCACACCATCCATTCAGATATTCAAACATGCAGTCACAATTAATATCTTAAAACCAAATCATCGAACATAAACCACACACGCGTAAAAACACAAGATTGAGCACAAACATAAAAAGCAAGCACAAACAACCAAATAACACAGAAAAAAGACAAATTTATCCTTCTAGCACACGCAGATCACACCATCAAGTCAGATATTCAAACATGCAGCCATAACACCAAATTATCGAACATAAACCACATAAGCTAGATCACACCACAAAGAACTTCCGAGACATAAAAAACAAAGGGATTATCGATTATCACCTCATCTTCAGCCTCTTCTTCGTCCTCAAACTCCGCATCTTCCTCGACCGCCTGTTCCTCCTCCCCCGTCTCCCCATCATCATCTTCATCGGCAACATCCTCCCCTTGCTCATGCCCATCAATTTCCCCTTCTGTACTGGTCAACCGCCTACTACTATCCGGCTCCAACGAATCCCTCTCTTCATTATCCACTTCTTCCTCCTCTTCGTCCACATCATCGTCATCTTCGTCCACATCATCATCCTCATCATCGTCGTCGTCATCATCGCTGTCGTCGTCGTCTATCTCGTGAACCACTACCACGTCATCATCCTCGCCTTCATCTTCCTCGAATACTTCCTCCACCGAATCGTCTTCCTCTTCAATTTCGTCGTCTTCCTCCTCTTCGACTACAGGCTCCACTCTGAACCCGTTCGAATGGCTATGGGAGCTGCTGCCGTGGCTTATGCCGTTAACACCTCTCGAAGTTTCGGTTTCTTCCTCATCGGCATCGCTCTCTTCGTCCTCGTCTACTTCAACAACCCCTTCTTCGGGATGCTGCCCGTTGTTCATCCTCACGGAGCGATCTTCACCGTCGATTTCTCCGCTCCCTGGATCGTCTTCTTCGTCCTCTTCCTCCTCCTCCTCGTCGTCAGATTCCGGCCTCTCGTTTTCTTCAGCATCCATTTTATCCAGGTATTTCAAGGATCTTATCAAGCCGAAAACACGAGATCGGTAGTCCTTCACACGTGTGACGGGGCACTCGTAGAGATCCAACGAAACCAGCCTCAGCTGCGCCAGAGGCCTCAAGTCGTTTATATCCGAAATCCGATTGTTCGACAAATCGAGGTCGCGGAGGGATTCCAGCCCCGCTCCGACGAGAAATTCGAGTCCTCCGGCGATCCGATTGTCGGAGAGGATGAGCTTCTGCAAATTCGGGAGGCGGGGGAACTGCTCCAGCGACGAGGCGCCTATGTTCGCCATGGATAGGTGCTGCAGGTTGCGAAACTTCTCGAACAGCGGCGGCGGCGGCAAACGGCCGTGGACGCACTTAACGGCGCCGTCGAGGGTTAACGTCCGGACCAAATCGACGTCGGTTTGGCCGTCTAACGCCGTCTCCACGGCCCTCTCCCAGATCTCATCCATTACTGTGTTTTAACAAAATCCCTTTCTGCTCCACTGTACGAATTAAAATCTGCAATCAATCTACTTGACGATGAAAAATTTCTGGGGGGAAAATCCTAAAACCCTAGAATTTGGAATTTTTTTTATCTGTGCTTTCTCTCTCTAGAAATCTCTTTCTTTCCATGTGAGGGGCTGGCTCGGTCTAGATATTGGAGGTGAGTCACCCCCGAGTTGGACGAGTTAGGGTTGGTGGTTAGGTTGAGTTATGTTTGACCGTGGTAAGGTTAGTTTTAGAGATAAAGTTCATCCAACAAGAGAGTGAATCTTGACCGTGAGATTAGCGAGGCGGGGATCGATGACGTGGAAGATGAATAAACGGTCACGATGTGCTGATTTTGTGTTTGTTTAAAAAAGCAACTGACGGACTAAATGAGAGCTCTGAGGGAGAGAGAGAAGGTCACGCGCTCGGCAAAGTCTATTACGTCTTCTTCTTGGGTGGTGTAAATATATCGCAGCGAAGTAGGAATATACCCCAGAGATTCCATCTATATTACAACGGTGCCATTGCAATTTGAAACGTTTAATGCATTTTTTTTTTTTTGAGAAAATGCTTTTTCTTTATTAGTGATATTTACATTCAATATTTTTTTTTTTTTTGAGTAAATTCAAGTCCATTACAAGGGGAAGTAGGGGAGGGGGAGACTCGAACCCTAGACCGTTACCCTATTGGTAAAGGCTAGGTACCAACTCTCCTAATGAGGGTTGGTTACATTCAATATTTTTTTTATGAGAGGATATTTACATTCGATATTTTATAATGATATAATAATGAAATAAGATGTAATATATTTTTTTATTATAATATTTTTCATGTATTTAAATAATCAGTTTTTCTATTTTTGAAATGTTATCTCGTACATTTAACTGGCATAAATACTACTAGTATGTATGATTTTACATAAATTTGTGGGAAATGGTACTTAATATATCTCAACTTCTCAAGTAACTATGAATTCTGAAAATGTTGTAGCAAAATTAGAACATTTTAGCTAAACCTAAGCTAACTCATTTAAATAAGATTTTGATTAATTTTAGTTACATTTTAGATATATAACTAACTTAACCGAAATTTAAAAGAGTTTGAACTTGGCGAATTTCTATATTTAAACATAAAACAAAAAAGTAATTAAGGCATAAATCTTCTTAGTATATGTAATTAAATTGCTTAACATAAATATTTTTGTAATAACATAAAAACTTTAACACGAATTATCACCACTAATGAACGTATTGAAAGTATTTTAGATACACCTAGAAATTACAAATAAATGTAGTATGTAGAAGAGAAAAAGGGTATAGCATAGGAGCTTGTAGAACCTAAAAACTAATAAATAAATTTGAAAAAAAAAACGGAGAAGGGGACATTTTGCATGAAATCGACCGAACTTGGCTGAACAATCAGAGCCATTGGCCCACAAGATCGGCCCAATAAGCCCACCAATAGGAAGATGGCCGAATTACAAGAAGGGTAAGAAAAGCGAGAAAGAAGGGTAGCTCACCATGCCTCCGATCCGCTGCTACCATGCATAGATGTATGGTGTCATCATATGGTTGCTTGAACTCATGTATAACTATAACAATGGCAAATTTTCAGATTACCATAAAAGCGAACGACAGTATGATAAGATTCTCCAGATTCTAACGGGTATAAATACGAAGTTTCAAAGATCCCAAGGTACGCAAACTTAATGACTAATATATGTATGATCTCACTTGTTAGTAGGGGTGGGTAATCAGATCGGGTTATTCGGGTTGTGACCCGACCCGGTCGGGTTTTATGCGATTGGATCGGTAATTTTCAAGTCTACCAGCTTCGGGTACTTGGTGTTCTTAAACCGGGTCGGGTCCAGGTTTTAGTATCCTTGATCAGGTACCCGACTAAAAAAAACAAAAAGAAAAAAAAACCAAACTACGTAACCCACTTTCACCCAAGCCCAACCCAATTTCCAGCCCATCCATATATTCTTTTTATTTATTTATTTATTATTGGGTTCCATCTAATATATTTCATTTTGAGCTTTCAATTCTTGTTTTTATATTGCAACAATTTGTTTTGTAGTTCCAAGTCTTTATATTGACACCTAATTTTTTATTACTTTTATAATAAATAAAGGCTTTGTAATAGTTTGAATATCAACATTATTATTGAATATTGGTACCTGAAAAGAAAATGAAAAAAAAAAAAAAAACTCGAACCCGACCCGAAATAACCTGGTTCATTCGGGTCGGGTTCATGTAAGATTTTTATATCAAAAACCCGAATAATCCAAGCCAGCCCGAATGCCCACTTCTACTTGTAAAACATACATTCTAATGATAAATTCCTTACTGTCACTCAATTGATCGTCAAAATACTAATTATTACATCATTCAGTTCGGACCTTTTATTTTGCAGGGCTCGTCAGGTCCAACTTTTAGTCCGAACGATTGTTCTAGAATGGAAAAAGGTTTTACGGACGGATCAAGAAGATATGATGGTTTTTTAATTTTTATTTATACTTATATTTTTTACACGATAACCGCAACCAGTTATGTATGTGCATTAGGTAAATTGGTAAACCTCCATTTAGTACAATAATTTACAAAATATATGAAATATGTAAACCACATTAGGTATAAGTCGTGTGTGACAAACTCGACCTAGAAAACGTTGAATTATTTGACATTGCCATATGGTTCCAACAACTATGTTAACCTTTTTTTAAAGTTGAAAATCAAACTAAACTACTTGATACTTCTATTCGAGAGTCTTTTATTCGAATTACGTAGAGTTCAATTATTAATTTGCAGGAAAGAGTGCTATAGTAAATATAAGGGGCCAAATCGAGATTTTTTTTAATCTTAAATGGACCAATAAATCAGAGTCGCTGTTGCGAGAATATGAATGGAAATTGGATGGATCCGAATGAAATTAGGATCATCGGAATAATTATTTCTTTTAAGCGAAGAAATTTCAATTTCGTTTGAAAAAAAACAAAAAAAGAGAAGTAGGAACTTCAAAATTTGGAATGAAAATTCTCATTCCAATATTAGAAATATTCATATCAGAATGAATTTATAAGCGTAATTGTTCTTTCGAATTCCCAAATTGGATTGAAATTTGGAATCTGAAGTTCAAAACTGAAAATTTAATTTGGAGTGAAAATTTTCGGAAAAATTTTGAAATCAGATTTTGAGTAGTAAGAAAAGTATTTAATATGATTTTTGTTAAATCAAATTGACAGAGCACGAAAATATCATTCCCATTTCGTCCCTTGTGCATCTAAACAAACATGGTAAAATTACAATCACCCATGAGGAAAGGTCAAATTACAAGATCTCCCCTCATATTTGGATAATTACAATTGCCCCATCAACTATAAATCTTCTTACACGTCTATCCTTAAGGAATTAAATTCAACATAATGTTCTAGATTATGTGAAATGTTCTCTAATTTATACTCATTTTGTGCGAAAATGCAGTTTCTGATTCACCACAATTTTGATATATACAAGTCAAAAAATACAACTTATGGTCATCTTGCTTCAAAATGTGGAGCTCTAAGATAAAACGGATACAAACTTGAGAATATTTCATTTAATCTAGAAGATTCCATTAAATTTGACACCGCAAGTATGGACGTGCATAGTTGGGATGGTTATAATTACCAAAACATGAGGGGATTTTTCGTAATTTAACCTTACTTCAGGAGGGTGGTTGTATATTTACCCCAAATAAAAAAATAAAGCAAAAAAAAAAGGAAAATGAATTTCAAATAATAAGTGGGCTACTCTTTATTGGGCTTTTTGGTTCTAAAATCTTAGACCATTTTGAATATAAAACCTTCTCTCACAACCGTCTGCGGCGGCGGCTCCGACGGTCGGCACTTCGATTCCAAGGTAAGCTTTTTTCCCTCTATTCTTCTTCTTCCGTTTCTTTACTTCCCGCTTCTGAAGAAAATTGATTTCAACTGTGCCATCTGAATTAGTAGGGTTTTAATTTTTTCAATTTTTAATTTTCAAAATTAGGGTTTTTTTATTTTGGGGGAAATTTTGCGATAAGTAGGTTGCATCTTCCAATATCTCAACAGTAGCAGCAGATTTTGCTTTGTACTGAAATATATCTTTTATTGTCAAAAATTAAAAATTAAAAAAATTAGGGTTAATGTGTTTTTATCATGTTTCAATTATAATTAATTTTTCTAGCTATCTTGTCCTGCTCAGTAGGTGCTAGTGTTTTTTATGAAGGAGAAATTTAGGGTAATAAGTTCTTGCTATTGTTCTTTATATCCGAAATGAGTTCTCGAAAATCGACTTCTTTATGCAGATAGTGAATTTACGAGATTAAGATGACGAAAGAGACTTCATCGAAAAAGCAGCCGAAAATTTCGCCAAAGGGTCCTTCTGTACAACAGAAGCCCTCTTTCAAACCCAAAAAGAAAGGCACCGAGATTGACAAAATCTTCGCGGGGAAAAAGAAAAAGCTGCCTGAAAACGACACGAAGCCCGATACGAAGAAGCCCGATATGAAGAAGCCCGTTAAAGTATCAACTTCGAATGTGAAATCGCATGAATGGAGTAGGGTAACAGAAAACAGTGCTAATAAGATCAAAACGTTGAAAGAGAGTGGTATTGTTGACCGGTCTTCTTCTCGATCGAGGAAAAACAACGCGGAAGGTGGACCGAGGAAAAAGACTGCAGATGGACTAACTATTTATACGGAGGACGAGTTGGGCTATGGGAAATCGGATGCTGGAGGTACCCCTTTGTGCCCGTTTGATTGTGATTGTTGTTTTTGATATATGATTAATGGTTTTTTTTGTTTTTTTGGCTATGATTTGAATGAATTTTACGAGGGTCGCTCGTGCAAGGAGAATTGAGTGTTCTTTTACGTAGTGTAATATGTTATGTAAAATCGGTAGCCCTTTTGTGAGGGTGGATTTGGAATCGGATCGAGATGAAAAAATGACTTAAGTTTGTTGTTCGTTAGTCATGTGAGGTCTCCTTAATTTCCGTGTTTTTTTTTTAAACCCAAATTCCCCGCCATGTCTAAGGCTGTGTTTGGTTGCCGAAATATGATTAGTCAAGATAACATCATGCAACTTTACGAGGGTCCATTTGTGAATAAACCAAGATAAAGGTTCATTTTTCTCAAATTTTTTGAACCCGTCTGAAAGTTTTAGTGCCGACCCAACTAATCGAACATCAAACGAGGTCTTTGTTTAAACGATCATGCTTTATCTACATTCTTGGTAAGAAGTTGAAAGTATTTGTTTGTTTTATTACAAGTATG